AAGTTTCATTCTTTAGTTTTAAATCCTTTAAGTGGACTTTTATATAATAATTCATTATTTAAAAATGATTCTTTTGAGAAAATATTTCGAAAACTTTCTTGAGCTCTTATATATTATTTTACACACAACTTTTGAAGTTTTCAATAGCCGTTGTTAAGCTACAAATGTGTTTTCTACTCGTAAATTAACTCGTTGAAAGAGAAAACTATAACCTCTTCTTCTACATTTTTACGAAATTGTAAAAAAAATTTATAAAGCCATTTCGAGAATTCCTAATTTAAAATATACGTAAGTAGTCGGTAAGACAGACACTAAAATCATTTTTTAGGGTTCTCGTACAAAGATTTATTTAAGTTTTTCGGAGGCAAAAAGTGGGTATTAACATATTCATAACAATTAGATCGTAATTTGAAAAAAAAAATTTACATATTCATCAAAATAAAGATTCGAAATTAATTTACAAAGCACCAAGATTCTTAAGGCCAAGAACAACACCAACACCAATAATATGACCCACAACACCACAAGCCAAAGTGTCTGCAAGTGTAAATCCAGCTGGGTCGCCTGTTTGCAGCCCTGAGTCCCTCACTTCTAGCTTTAATCCTGCGGTCGCCTTTCGATTTGCCGATGGAGCTAACCCGAATCTCCCCGCGAATAACATTAGACTTGTACTCGTCACCATTATCTGTTATCGAATATTTTTAAGTTATTTTTGAAAAAAATTTAAAATTTTTATAACATTTATTTTTGTTTAATTAAAAAGGTAGTAATTTTTTTTTTGGAACAATGCATTTTAAATTTTATTATTTTAATTTAAATATATTTTTTAAATTCATACATTTAAATCAAATAAAAATAATGTAATTAATCTCTTAATTAAAACACACAAAATATATAATTTAACTCAAATTTTATACCATGGTAAAGAGAATTAAAGATATAAATTATGCAGCTAAAGGATTATAGATAGTTTTAAATAAAATTATATATATATATATACACATTTAATTTTTATTATTTTTTGGTGGAATTTGTAATTTTTAAATTAAAAAAAATACATAAGTGAACTCTACAAAAAAAAATATTTTTTAATTTAAATTTTATATATCATTTACTATATTAAAATTTTCATAATGTAATTCAATTTATATTCTACAAATATTTTATTAATTTCATAATTATCACGTCACTTAATTTTTTTTTTCCTTATTCTACGATCACTCAAATACGAATTTAAAAAGAAAAACCAAAAAATATTTTTGCTATAATTAAATTTCTTCTAAAGAACAAATTAATTACCAAGTTAGTGGGGGAGCCAATGAAATCACAGCGAGCACCCAGTGCTCCATTTCCCTTTCTCTTCATTGGTCGAACAGCTGCCTGCAACACACATATACGTACACATTATATATACATCATATACATATACCTGTACGTGTAGACACATACACATGTTATGAGATAAAATAGAGAGAGAGAGGGAGTAGAGACCAGGGTTTTTATTATAATCGTGCAAAAATTTATTCAGTGGTCACTCAAATTCATAAAGAGAGAGTATGAATATATATGTACATATAGATATATATCATTTACATACACCTATACATATACACATACATATATTATGAGAGAAGAGAGAGAGAGAGAGATAGTTGAGACCAGGGTTTTTATTATAAAGATGCAAAAATTTATTCTATGATCACTCAGATTCATAAAGAGAGAATATGAATATATATATATATGTACATATAGATATACATCAATACATACGCCTATACATATATTACGAGAGAAGAGAGACAGAGAGAGGGAGATGGATAGCGAGTAGAGACCAGGGTTTTTATTATGAAGATGCAAAAATTTATTCTATCATCACTCAAATTCATAAAGAGAGAATGTGAATACATGTGTACATATAGATATACATCAATACATACACCTATACATATATTATGAGAGAAGAGAGACAGAGAGAGGGAGATGGATAGAGAGTAGAGACCAGGGTTTTTATCATGAAGATGCAAAAATTTATTCTATCATCACTCAGATTCATAAAGAGAGAATATGAATATATATATATATGTACATATAGATATACATCAATACATACACCTATGCATACATTATGAGAGAAGAGAGACAGAGAGTAGAGACCAGGGTTTCTATTATGAAGATGCAAAAATTTATTCTATCATCACTCAAATTCATAAAGAGAGAATGTGAATATATACATATGTACATATAGATATACATCAATACATACACCTATGCATATATTATGAGAGAAGAGAGAGGGAGAGTAGAGACCAGGGTTTGTGCTATAACCATGCAAAAATTTGTTCTGTGATCACTCAAATTGACAAAAGAGAGAATAAGAATGTATATGTAGATACAGATATACATCGCATACATACACATATACGTATATTATGAGAGAAAAGAGAGAGTCGAAACCAGGGTTTTCACTGGAGCTGCTGAGAAGTTGGGTCTTAACCCAGAAAATTGAGGGAGAGAAGTCATCACAGTGGTTGCCATTTGCTAGCCGGAAAACACAAATGAATTTCTCAGCTTCTCTGATGAGTTTATTTTATTTTTATATTTTTGGGTTTTAATTTTAATTTTTATTATATTCATTTCGTGAGGCTGTAATGAATGAGAATCACCAGCCACATGAGTGGCTTTGGGATTTGAGAATTGGATACACTTGGATTCTGCCTCTTACGTGGCGTCATCTCATTGGGCTGTTTTAACTGGATAAGGTTCTGCCTGTCCTCCTATCCTTATGCTTAATTGTACTTGATTTATGACGTAAATAATTATAATAATAATAATATTAATAACGATCTAAATTAAGTATAAATTTTTAAATAAATTCTTCTAAATATATCATTAGTGAAAAATTATTGAGATTTGGTTTTCTTCCTTCCTCTATTAATAGTTACTTTATTTGCTTGGTGGCATATATATTTTTCACCACATTTCTTATCGACAAGTGTAATATCTGAAAATTTCCGAAAAAACAAGCCACGATCGACTCATTTTATATGAAAATAAATAAATAAATAATTAAATATATAAGAGCAAAAAATAATAAAAGTAGAAAATAAATTAAGTTGAAGCGATAATCAGTAATTTCTTCTTAAACTGTCATTTATTCATAGATTTCATGATAATATTTTAGAGTACAATGCTTATTTATTTTTATTTTTTTAATAATTCGTCTATTATTGTCTTCACATTCATTAATTATTGATAGGAGCTTTAAGAGAAGCTTTCTTTCTCTTTGATATGCTTTTTCACCTTATTACAGACATCCTACAAAGATGCATACATATATGAGGTCTCACTCGGGCTTAATTCACCAACTGGTTTTAAATATATGTCAAATTCTAAGTTGCTGAGTTGTAGGCAAAATTCTAACCCACACTTCTTTGCTTCATCCATTTGGTTTAGTAAATCATTAAGGTTCTAATTACGATTTTTAATTTTATTGGCATGCTGTGGATCGACATTGATATTGTTGTTGCTTTCTTGTTGACATGAGAAGTGCTGAAAAATTTCATCAACACTTGGACTGCCATAAGAGTACAGAATTATGGACGATGAATATATTAAAATGGTCATTTGAACAACACATAATGTAACTAGCTCACTTGCCTTCTTGAAAATATCTAACTTGACACTCTGAGAGGGTCATATACTTAGAGAAATTATTCTCAATCGTTTTCATTGCAATTTTTCGACAGCCCATGATTTCTAAAATTTCTATATATGTTGTGACAAAAGATGGTGTTGTACTTAAATTCAAAGCTATATTTATAGTTGAATGTTCAACATTATCAATCTTCAAGATTTTCTCTATTCTTTTAGAATTCATTTTTTTCATATATGAAAATTCGTTATTATATAATTAGAGTTTTAAATTAGGTAATTTTATCGAGATAATGTATTTTATACACTAGATAATCTATTAAATAATCATGATTTATAGCACGAAAACTAATCAGAACATAAATTTAAAATTCTTAATAGAATTAGAGACTTTTTTTTTTTTCTTATTTAGACATTAAGTACAAATGTTATGACGCTCTTATTGTGTAATATGTTGTTAAGTTAGTCGAAGAGGAATGTGATACGTTATAATGACATAAAATGTCATTCAATTAATAAAAAATATTACTAGAGAGACTGTTGTTTATAGGACAGAGTAATTGATTAACTTTTAGAATCAATTAAGACATTTTTGGGGAATTAAATGCAAATTGGGTCTAGAATATTAAATTTGCAAATTGTGTTTTGGTTAGAGGTGAGTAAAAGCCAAATTAATACCAAAAAACTAAATGAACTGGACTAATTAAAGGACTGGTTCAGTTTATTATTTTGTTCGGTTAAATAGATCAATAATTGAATAGTTAATCTCTTAACCAGTTTGATTTTCAATTCTTAAATTTTGGAATAGAATGTGATCCAAAATCAATTCCCTTTTTCTTAAAAAAATTAATAACTATATATAGAGATCTAAGATTTTCTTCATTCACTACTAGTTTCATCATTCTCAACATTAGCTCCAACTTGTCACCTCACTCTTCTTTTTCTTTTTCTCTACCTCTGATTGTTCTTCCTTCCTCCATTTAATTTCTCTAAAATTTAGCCTTTACATGTTATGCTTGCTACTCCCATATAGTCTCGTCGCTCGCATTTGGAGGCTTTTATTGCTCTCTCCTATTATTGTGCTCTCATTGCTTTCTGCATAAAGGTAATACGCATATTCTGTATATATAAACGGTTAAGTATTTTGTATAAGCCCTAAGTAATAAATATATTATATACCAAGTGATAACAATAGTATATACATAATATATAAATAATATTTATTAATGTTATATTACATATATTGTGAACATAAATAATAAGAATTATATATATATATATTATATAATCCTTTGTGGTATTTTTTTAAAAAAGTAAATTGACCAAGCTTTTCAAATCGGTTCAATTTTAGTCTTTATGGAGTACTTATGTTTTTTTAGTTTTTAAAATTTGCAAACCAAACTGATGAATACTCACTGTGTAAGGCACATGAGTATGACACATGGAATGTTTCTGTGTATTATGTTTATAGGTTGTGTGAGATATATCCAACACTGTTTATGTGTTGCACATGATATATGCATGTGGTACATGTGCGCGACACAATCATTGCGATTCATGACCTACTACACGCTACACTCACGTGTTATGTGATACATGTGCGCGACACAATCATTGCGATACATGACCTACTACACGCTACACTCACGTGTTATGTGCAACACATCACATCTTATGTCTAGTGGTATGACATTTTACCTCTATATTTTTACCTATACTTTTGTGCATTTTTATTTTTAGTTTTTGTTAATTATAACTTATTTTTAGTGTGTAGGGTGTGAATATAATATTAACCTAGAAGCTAATTATCACAGTATTTGCTAACCTCACGAGAAATTAAGGGTTAAATTACATCCAAAAGAAAAAAAAAAAAGTGACGAAGTAAAAAGCTTAAAAAAATCTAGTCATATTCTACCAATGGTCGTCTCCTCAAAATTCTCCATTTTGGAGAAAAGATTAACATCACAATGTCTATGCTAATTTAATCAATCGCCAACAAGATAAAATTTCTCATCATTTTTCTTTTTCATGTTATTAATTATTTATAATTTTTTACACTCTTGACCATGTAAATATATTAAGTTTCAAAATATACCTGACATACCATTTTATGAATAAAAAAAATATGTGAAAAATTAGGGATTTTTTTTGGGTATTTTGTTTTATTGTTATTTTAAATTTTAATTAATTAAATTCCCTGACAAAATAAGGGTATGACCTTATACACCAATAAAAACTAAATAAAATTATCGTAAAATATACTTGAAAACTCAAGAATATTAAGCAAATGAGGTTTATTTATTGGTAAAAACCAACTCATCATGTGACTCTAATACTAGTTATCCAAATAATAAAGTAACCCGAAGTGAAGGTGAATTAGGTTTTTTTATATATATGATTTCACTAGCTAAAGTGATAATGAATTCAATATGATAGTTTTTAAAGCATACATAAAGAAATAAAAACTTTGAATGCTTAAAAACAAAAGAGTAAAGATAAAATAATACAAATTATATTTATAGAGGTTACTCATCATACTGGTGTTAATATATTCTCATTGAGTCACCAATTTAAGAGTTTTATACTCTTTAGAAATCTTCTTACAAAAGTAAACTAACTTAAGAGTTTAAGGTGTATATAATACTTTTAAAATGATGTAGATACTAGTGTATTTCCTCTTTTATAATACCAAAAGAAGTAAAAATAAATAAATTTTCAAGCATTTATCTTTTAAATAGTAAGATTACAAGATGTAACACAAGAAGATTCAAACATTATGGGACAAGAGGAAAATAAAGCTTTTTTCTTGAAAATTCAAATTTAATGATATGAGCGTAGGTAGGTTTACTCAAATTAGGCTATAAGAAAGCTTAAGACCACTTGAAAGCTCATGGTCAGATGAGCACACATGACTATATGAGTCATTAGTTCAAGAAAAAACATGGCCAATTGATATTACAAGGCCATGACCACCTTGAGGAAGAGCAAGACACATTCCAAGATTGATCTCTAGGCCTCATAAGTATGAAAGGCCACAGTTTAAGCACCATAAAAGATGAATGTTGTAGTATGGACTAGCTAAGCTTGGTAGGTTGCAGTTTGGTTTGTCTAAAAGAAGATCAAGGAAGATTGGGTTGTATAAGTGGAGATCACGACCTTATGAACTATTCAAGACAAGGCCACGGGTAAAGTTCATATGGGTACATATAATCCCTCGAGCACCTTCTACTAAGTCTTAAATTGTGACTCTTTCTCTCTATAAATTCCTCTATTTTCCTTGATTTTCACGTCTTTTGACATGTATAGTTCTCCTTCTCCTTATTTTTACAAATTTACTCGTTTGATCTCTCCATTTTTTCAACCAACTCCCAAATATTCTTTGGCTTTGTTCTCCTACTCCGTGACTCAAATAGATAATTGTGCTCCTTTTATCATCATCATACGATCACTTTAGCCTTATGTATCTCGAGCTTTTTTATTTCCTTGTTTCTTTCGAGTTTATCATCATTGCACAATAACGATTTCTTTAACTCCACGACATCAAATGTCCTTTGGTATACGAAGCACTTTAAAAATTGACAAGCTTCACGATCCCCCTCGAGTTCTTTCTTACTCCTTTTGAATTGTTGTGTCTAAACCACTATGCATTTTGGGTGAAACCCTAAAGACACTAAAACGATGTCGTTGGAAAAATAGGATGGATATATGAGTTAAAATTTGCTTTACCTTTACATTAAGACTATATGGGCCAAGCTAGTTTTAAAAAAGAAGTAGACTTTATAGCTTTATTTGAACCTTTTTTGGGTTTAGGTTAGTCTAAAAAGGTAATATATATATATATATATATAATAAGGTTTTTGTGTTTTTTTTTTATTTTTTTACAAAAACAACAAAGTTTGATAATAATAATAATAATAATAACAAAAATAGTATTAACAAATATTTAAATAAAAATTAGTTG